TGATGAGGAATACATAAGTGGTGGTTAAGTACGTCGGGTAGGAGGATGCAGATTGAATGGGAAATATTTCATCAGCATAATGGAATAGCATTGGTCAGGGCAACTGTTTCTGTTAATCCAATCAGTTTTGGTGAGAGCTGTTGACTACGTAGCAGCAGCGGCAGAATACCGGCGAAGCGCATGTCTGGGGCTTTTAACTAGTACCTAGGCTGTTAATATAGTAAGTTACAATTTTTACACCGCTAAAGTATCAGTGTGGGGCATACTCTCCAACGGCTTTGTTGGCTTACTATCCTTAAGGAAAACTTCCATCATATAATATTTTGTCAATTTATAGTTTATGTAACACGGAACAACCACTTATTAATCCACTTAGTCCTCTCACATTAATTGCAACCTGGATGGTGTTTAAAAGAACGCAGTTGAACTAGTCGCATCAGAACATGTGAGGCAAAAATGTACTCTAGCAGGCTCAACTGTAATTCTGAGAGGAGAGTGCCCTCGTTTTTCCTGAGGTAACCTTGAATAACTATGAATCCAGGCAAGCGGGATCGCGTCGGATGCAAGAAATCAACTAATCTGTAATCGATACGTTAAATTTTACCATTAAAGATTTTTATTACTTATTTTCCCGCTAGTCATACGTCAAACCAATGTTCACTAAGAACATAAATTGGTAGTGTGCTGATTGAATTTTCTAAGTTATTGAAGGCAAGGGATTGCATCTTGAATTTCTGAAAAAAGATATTCCTTTCCTGAGTTCAGTGTCATGTACCTGTCTAAGCAGTGCGTTACATCGTTCACGCTTTCGCCCAGGACACACATCAACTTCTAGGCGTGTCAGAATATAGATAACGATGTGGCCCGTCTGTGTATGCACTTGAATTTAACTTTCCGCATGACATTGCTATATTCATTTTTTTTTAATCTAACAAATTCGCTTCTTAACAGTTATACTCGTCTTATAGCTATAGACTACGGATACTGTTTGTTAAACAAATTATTTCTAGAACTTCGTGTGATCAAATTTTGGTTTATTGATGGGCCCATTGGGCCTGAAATATACAACTATCGAATTTTCGGTTTATTGATGAGGCCCATTGGGCCTGAAATATACAACTTATTATTATTATGATATATTCACCGTTTGTTGGATGTTCGGTCCGAGGAATTTTTGCATGACTCATGGTCCGAACACATGTTAATGTTTCTATATGAGTAAAAAAGAAGGCTGCCTGAGCATTGGAAGATTTACTTACTATCAGCTTCCGAACATCTGTAGGAGTCCGTCGGCAAAGATCTTAGTAGCAACAGAAAAAATGTTACACTTTTAAGGGTAACAAGCCAATCATTTATCAATGACGCAAGTCTGGAGGTGACTGCGCAGAGCTCTATATGCCGACGCAAGATCGATGCGTCAGTTGGTTGTATTTCCATCTGAAGGCCAAACTTCGATCACGCTTGCGATGTGCGTGATTATCATGGCGGGTACAAAAATGACAAATAATTAACATAATGAGTTATCTTCAATTAATTGAAATTTTGATTTGCATAGCCAAGATTCTGATTATTTGCCATTTGGGATTAAAAGTACCAATCAAACTATGTTCGTCGTTGTAAATCTTTTTATTTTATTGGAAAAAAGTTAAGTTAAACCCTGTAACCATCTTCGACAAAGCGCCCCTTGGAATAAGCAGAAATAACAGTACTCAGCAACCTGGTTCTTAAAAGAAATCACAAATAAGCTGCCAATTTAACGCTTATATTCCTAATCGAGAATTATCGGCAAACTTTCATTGTTATTTCCTCCACGTTTATAATCCAAAAAACTTGTATATTCGCACAAGCTTCTTGTGAGCCATGAAATGATGTTAATTTTTTTTCAGTAATCATGATTAGATCTAAATAGGTTTCCAAAACTCGTGAGTATATGCAGGCTATTTACCTAGCCAAAACGTTCTATTCGCGAGGCGCATGCTACTGAGCATTGCACACCCAAATATTTAAGCAGTCTTCAGTTGAAAGTAAAATTAGAAATTTTGTTTTTGAGTGTCTGCGCCCGCTATAAATGACACTGTCCCGGTCTTTCAACAAAGGCGTGCGCACAGGAACATTGAACAGATCGGCGGCTATAATACTTCAGAAGCCCAAAAATACGCATAAACCGTCTGCCCAAAAATAAACTCCTCCGGTAATAAGCAGGTAATGGAATGTCGATGGTGTGCGCCTAATTATTGCATATCATCTGGGCTGGTGGTGGTGGCTACAGACTAAACGGAGTTTTGCCCCTGTGGACGTCGGGTGAGTCGTGCACAAGTACGGATTCGCGTTGTAGTCGAGCAGTTGCGCAGAAAAACGTAACCTCAGCGGAGACAAAAATTAATTCCTGTGAACATTGGGGAACTTTGACTTTTAAGGCCTTATTTAGGATTTGGAATTCAAAACGAAGCGTACAAAATGTACTTGGGGCCGCAAAATCAACGGATTTTTTTACCCAGGTCAAGTCCTGGACTCAGCCATCATTCTGAGACTGACCTACTTAGTTGCCTTGCGTGCATGAAATCTGTTCGCTTTAATCAGTCATTCCAGATTTGCGAAATTAACCTTAAATATGAACGCCTTTGATCCTTGTCCATCTTGCGGTCGAGCGCAGCAACACTGCTGCCATGATTGTCGAACTGATTGCAAGCAGGAAGCAACCTATTATTGATTCATCGGTTGCCGATTGAGCAGAGTCATCATCAGCCCGTAATACTCATACCCAGGTTTCGCAACCCCTGAGAATCGAATCTGCGACCTGTTGGTATAAAGTGCAGCGTCCTAATTGTTGAGCCTATGGTCGTTTTTCTTTCAATTCCCACCGGTAAAATTGCCGGTGAAGAATTCTGAAAAAGAATAGATGTGAGTGGTAAACAAAACTGTTGTCGCTACAGCACCCACTGCTTCCTTTTTAATAAGTATATATTTTAGCTTGAGTAAACAAAGACACAGCATTAACAGGCGAAGTTTGATACCTGTTCTAACAGGCCCTACAGATAATTCAGAAGTACGGAGGCTGAATATTCATATCAAAAGGGCCCACACTGTTTTGATAGTGCCTTCCAGGCGCTCAACATATAAATTCATTCATTTATTTGACTCAGTCAACCCTTTATACTCCGCAATAATTAGATGCATGATGAACCATCTCATGGGCATTTGTTCGCGTATTCTACCATTCCAAAACACAACTCACTTTTTTTAAGGACAATCCATCGGCAATCGCGACCATTTCATCGAGGAACCCTGACGACATTTTCAGAAGTAATAATCACCAAACGTATTGGCGATATAAAATATCACAGCGAGTAAATAGTGATAATAAGGTTAATTGATAATAATAAAACTTGTACCTACGATGACAATACTGTGCGTTATAAGAAAGAATATTCCAGGTTTCATTAAATAGAGTGTAAGAAACACACTCACCATGCACAATTTCAGGTGTCATTCTGATATTTGATAGTAGAGTGGTTTTACGTAGGGTCAATCTACATGATAAACTTCATAGTTAGATTATTAGACCGAACCTGTGTAGGGCGAAATCGTTTGGCTGTTACCAGAGGGTATCCAATTTAGGCCTCCCTCGTCATATGGGAAGATGATCAGCCAGGTATGAAATAAAGGCAAATTGGGGAAGACCATCATACTGCCTTCTCTACCGAATCATGTATCGGATGAGATTCAAAATATGAAGAAATCTGCCACAAAGTTCTTCGCATAAATAAATAACTAACCGAAAGTACGAAGTTAAAGTTCCCGTATTTTATCTCTAAATTTTCTTGTTTGTCAGCTTTGGAATTTACTTCAAGTAAATTTTTTGAAAAGATATTCTCAACTCTCACATAAGTTTGGCTGTACTAATTTTACGAAATCGGATCGCAAACCTATCTTAAAGCTGTAAATGCCTATTTACGCTTCCACATATTTGATTGAAGTATCGTTTGTTTTAATCTTTACACGATCATCTACAGGTCACGCACTATAAATATACGTTTTTAACTGGTCCCCCCCAGTTTCGGCATTTCCGCGAGTCATGTTCCGCGTTTTCTTCGGTCTCTGTCTCCTATCAGTGTTCGTTCACGCTAAGCCCCATCCTGAACGGA